TTGATTAATGCCAGGAGGAGGATATGTGAATAAGTGGAAATGATCATTTTTGTTTTAAAGTGCTTGGCAATTGGGAATGAAGAAGTTTGAATTCATTCCCGAGGATGACTAAAGTTTAGTTCTTTTGTGATTGAATCTCATAAGGGCTTCAAGTAATAAATAAGTGTTGTGTGATTGTTTTGACATACCACTTCATATATTGGTAAATCATCAGCTGAGGCTGTTGTTTGAACATATCTTGTATGTTTATGAATTGTTCAACAAACAAATGTAGATTCTTTTACCCTTTTTCTGGAATTTCCGAAGTCAACTCCATTACTGAAAAATACTTAATATCTTTAATTTCATGATAGCATGCTTAAATGTCAATCCTGCTGTTGATAGGCGACTTTTATTGTGTGGGCTTGTGCAGTGGATTTGCTTTTAGATTATTTCGTGTAAATGCCACTGCTATTGGTGTTGATATATTAGTTTTTTTGACTAAAGTTTGAAACTTTCCCCACATAGGGATACAGTTTGTTGCAATTTACTTGCTAAATGACTTGAAATTAATTATAGAGAAAGGCGATATTCGAGTACAGATAAAAGTTTCATGGTTGATAAGAATAAGCATAAATGAAGTATATTGAAGCATATGGCTTGACAAATTGTTTTCCATGTAATATAGTTGCTATCTTGGTGTAGTTACTTTGGTCTATTCTCTCCTTTGTTTCCTCTCTTTTTTCTGTCACCATTTTGAAAATATCTTACATGGTTTCAGAAAATTGGAAGGCGGTTGATTTTTGGGAAGGGGCATGAGATGCTGGATAGCGACACAGAAGAGAAAAAGAAGATTAGAAAATTTAAGGAGTCTGCTTGGAAATGCATTTATTATCTTTCAGCCGAGGTTCTGGCTCTCTATGTAACTTACAACGAGCCCTGGTTTAGAAATACCAGAAACTTTTGGGTAGGACCTGGAGACCAGGTCTGGCCTGATCAGAAAATTAAGTAAGCTTCATTGACTTCAGCAATAGATATAACTGTTCCTTTCACTTCGATCGATTCTTGCTTAAACATATCGTTGCATTTATTAAACTTTCAGAGATATGAGGATCCGTTATGTTTATTTTCCAGATTGAAGTTAAAGGGACTTTATATGTATGTTGCTGGATTTTATGCGTACTCTATATTTGCTTTGATTTTCTGGGAAACAAGGCGATCTGACTTTGGAGTCTCCATGGGTCATCATGTTGCAACTGTCATCCTCATCGTATTATCTTACATATTTAGGTACGCTTAACACAGGTTCTTTCTTACTCTAATATAGGATGTTAGGCTTGTAGATTTTTAAAATTTTATAGAATGGTTGTTTCTTTTCTTATGCCAGTTTCTTGCAGATTTGCTCGTGTTGGTTCGGTTGTTTTCGCAATTCATGACGCTAGCGATGTATTTCTTGAGATAGGGAAGATGAGCAAATATAGTGGGGCTGAAACACTAGCTAGCGCTTCATTTCTAGTTTTTGTTTTGTCTTGGGTCTTATTGCGCCTCATTTACTACCCGTTCTGGATCCTCTGGAGTACAAGGTTTGTATTCATGTCTGATATTCTGCTGTCTTAAGAACTTGAGAGAACCTCACCTGAATCGTTTCACATATGCTGTCTTACTTCCAATATAGAGATTAGAAAAGAAACGTAACTTTTCTTGGTTTTTTCAGCTTTAATCCCCCCGTGTAAAACCTAGACATTGGAATAGTCCTGCTATTGTTAGATTTATATTCGACATCTCTATATGTAATCTGAAATGAATTAGAAACTTCGATAATACACTGAATGACTACTAAAAGAACTACACATTTCTCACCATTGAAAGTTTAACCCTTTCCCCCCTGGTATACGGTTAACAATGGATCCCTTTTACTATCAGCTTGCTTCAGTGTATAAAGGATTTACTACTCAGGTTCATTAGTATCATTTTGGGACTGGTGAGTTCCAGGGTTTAAGATTGTATTTCTAGTTTTTTTCTTTTTGTCTATCTTATATATCTCGTCTATTGCAGTTATGAAGTTCTCCTTACATTGGACAAGGAAAAGCATCCGGTAGACGGACCGATTTGTTATTATCTGTTCAACACGCTCCTATTTTGCCTGCTGGTTCTTCATATTTATTGGTGGGTACTTATGTATCGAATGCTTGTCAAACAAATCCAAGCAAGAGGAAAACTCAGTGAAGATGTTAGATCTGGTAAGGACAACATTTCTGACATGCTAAATATGAATTTATTGCGTATGTATATATATATGTACATTGTCGACTAGCTTATGTTCCATTTATAGAATCTGCTTTCAACTGGTTTTCTTTTCACGCCATAACTCTTCTATCTTTAATCATCATTTTACCGTATGCAGATTCTGAAGATGAACATGAAGATTGATCTGGAAAGAAGAAATATTGCATTAACAAGACTTGTGAAAGGGTAATCTTTTTATATATGAAAGTCTTGCATACTCTTAGTTTTAGTTTTAGTGACCGGGATTCAATCACAGGCAACCCGAACTATTTCGGAAAGAAAGCCTCATATTGCTCATATATATATATATATATATATATATATATATATTACTAAAACGACTCATAGAAAGCCCTCATTTCAGACAAGTACACAATGAGTGACAACACATTCCTTTTGTGGGAAGTTTTGGTTTTCACCATATTTCGTCTTCTTTCCCTGTAAACTGATGCAAGTCTCCTGTTTGTGTACTTCTGCAGATGGATAACAGATGGGGTTTAAGCCATTGATACTCTTTTAATCTGAATGGTATGCTTGCATCTATATTTTATATCATTGTTGTGACGACTCACACAAGCATTTCAGAGAGTTCCACTGGGTCTATTTCGACCGGCTCAGGCAAATTGTTGTAAAATTACATTTACCATGGAACTCTGTAATTCATCAACTCAATGATAACTCTGCAGCCAAGTTGAGAGTTTGCCTATGGATTCAATTTCTTATTGCTTGTTTTGTCTTAAATTGAAGCTCATAACATAGTTGTAGATTCAGGTCTCCATACTGAGCAGTTTTTTAGTAAAGGGTAATCATTTTTTGGGATTGAAACCGATTATTTTAATATCGTGTCCAGAGTTCGATTCACTGATAGTGTCCATGGGCAAGTAACCATTGCCTAAATATATGTACATGATATATGCATAAACTCTCTATATAGCTAATGCTATGGACCATATACTGATTGTATCTCCAGAAAAGAAAAAAAAGGCAAGAAATTAAGGCTTTTTTCGGGAACCCGACAGCTCAAGGAACATGGACCCTGGACCACGCCCGTGTCACCATGCTTGTTATGTCATATCTTTACCGGATCTGATTCTGCATGATTCACTTTGTCATGCAACTTGTCTGAGTATTCAATGGAGTAATGTTGAAGGTAGAATTTGAACTTATGGGATTTGAGGGACTGAATTGCAAGTGAAATTTAATGCGGTTTGAATATTTGGGCAAAGGTGGTTGTTGAATTGACAAAAATGATCCAAATGAAAAGTCAAACTCTTTGCTGCAAACGCGTATCCATTTTTTGTTTCCTTATTAAACTACTCATTATTGGTTTAATTTGGTCAAACACTTGAAACATTAAGGAGCTGACAAATCATGGAAATAGTACGTGGACTTGCTTTTCTAATTATTAGAATCTTCCACATTGAAAATGTACATTACTAAATTGATTTTTGATTCAATTCAGATAATTATTTTTTAAAATTTAAGTTATTTGATTCAATTATAATTAATGGGTCGAATTACAAATTTGAGTTGAATTCAAATTGTATAGATTAAAAGATTTTAAAAATAAATTTTGAAACAATGTCATTTTGATATTTAATTAAATAATTTGTTTATTATCTTCTTTTTCTTTTTATTTTTCTTACTAAATTTGAACTACATGTGTCTAAATCATGATTAGCTTCAATTTTTTTAAAAAAAATCTTTTATTTTTTTAATTTAATACCTTAATTTTACATAATTTTCTTATTTCTTCTTTTTCATTTGTCATTTTAAGTCTATTTAAACTAAATTTGAGGCACTTTCCTTGTCATTATAGAATACTTATATAAATTTGATTATTACTTTAAGGCTTAATAAAAAAAAATAAGTGTCTAAACTTTGTATCGAAAAACATTTTAGTACATACAAATTTTTTTATTAAAATAGGTACATAACATTTTCATCGTAAATTTTTAAGTGTCTAGACAGTAACGACTATTAAATTTGGCCATTAAGTGACATGTGTCACGTTCTGATAATTTTGAGAATTTATTTAAAAATTTTAAAAAAAGTAAAAAAAAAAATTATTAAAAAAATTGTTGATGGGTGTCCCCTTCTTTCCCCCCCTTCCCCTTCCCCTTCCCCTTCTATGGTCGCCGTCCAGCATACATGACCATCATCACCACCTTCATCAATATCGGTGTCGACCCCCGATCAAACCCCCACTAACCTTTCGTCGTAAGGTGCCATCGTCTGCCAAAGAGAAGCATTCAAATGTTTGTCGGATTTTAAGTCACAATCACTATTTTTTGTCGATTCCAGGTGATCCTGACGTCCATAAGTCACACTGCCACCACTATTTAAACCACCGTGCAATTCCAATCAAAACACAAGTGTTCGACTACGATGGTGGCAGGAAATGACCGGCGACAATTGGTAATGGGTTGAAATGAGATATTTTAATTTTTTTATAATTTCATTAAAAGTTTGGGGTTTTTTATAAATAAATTACGTTTTTTTAAATAATTTTTTTATTATTAAAAATTTTAAAAATAAAAATATAACGATAGACACCTAAAAATATAATTGAGAAAACGTTAAGTATCTATTTTTAGCAAAAAAGTTCTTTAGATACTAAAATATTTTTTGAGACGTTGTTTAAACACTTATTTTTATATTAAGCCTTAATTTAATAATAGATTTCTTATTTTTTTCAATTTGATCCCTCATGTTTTTCATCGTTTATAATGGTTCAGTCTCCAACTCCAACCGGCATCGGCCATCACCGACAATCCAAATTGTAAAGAGTTGTAAAACAAAGAGAGAGTCCATTTGAGATACAAAGACTTGGCTTCCTCTGATTGAGTGACTGGCAACCTAACAATTTCAATCCTTTTTTTATTTTTTAATGTATTATTTGTATATATATTAAAGAAACCCAAATAAATCCAAAGTACTACGCGTATCAACTGTTCAATCTCTCTCCTTTTGCTTTTATGTGAGTCCATCCTCGGAAAAGTGTCTCCCTTTCTCTTTTTACTTTGTAGATTCTCTAGAATTCCCAACTTCCCAGAAAATTAAGGATAACATATTTGTTTCTGTTCGGGGGAAAGAAACATAGAATAATAACCAGTTTTCTTTATTTTATGTGTATGGAGAAACGGTGAACTCATTTGGTTTTAAAAACTGAAAAAAAAAGAACTCCGTCTGACTCGGTGAGCACACTCGTCATCAATGCCAAATGCTTTTATTTATTTTTCATTAATTCTGGAATCTGGGAATTGTGTCTTTTGCCGTTATATAATCTGGGTATATATTTTTTCCCGGATAAAGCTGGTTGTTTAGATCCAAATATTGTGTTAGAATATAGATTCTGATCTGTTTCTGTTTTGACTGTTGAATACATTGTTAAATTTGATGTTTTTTATGTGTTTCTTTTTGAATTTTGATCGTTTGTTGAATGTAAAAGAAGTTTGTTTTGATCTCTAAAGATGCTATTTTGGTAGTTTTTCTAGGATTTTTCGTATTGGTTTTCTTTCTCTGAAAACTGACAAGAGTTCAGCAAATGAAGAAAGAAACTAACGAGTTTGATTGCCATTGCTTGATTTTCCTATTCTTCTTAATCTTTTTCACCTTTTACAGTAAATGTCTGCATTGATTTTTTGACTAGTACCACCGGTAAACGTGACAGTTAGCAATCCAAGGAGATAATAAATATGTTTTCTGTAATCTTTTACTGATGAATTAGCCACTTGTTTTTGTCTTATCATTGTTGACTTTGATGCTTTGATTGTCTCCTTTATAGATTAGTAGGGTCTAGTAAGTTCTACATGGACAACGAATCATCCTGATTTTCCCCTCATTAATAAGCTTGCAGGCTGCTTTTCGTACAAGAACATTCAACATTGAAAACATTGAAGTATTTTCAGTGTCTTACAAGCCACACACTATACTATACATTTTTCTTCCTGCTTCATATTTGTTTATTTTCGTAACATATACCAGAGATAGCTGTCATACAATGCCTCAAGATGCTTCTAGTATTGAAGCACAGCATAAAAGAGCAGGTCTCTTAAAAGATCAGGTTCGGCTGGTCAAGAGAAAGGATTGTGATTGCTATGAGATTGTTTCAATCCAAGAACCTTTGTCTTTTGAGAAGGGGTTTTTTGTCGTCATCCGTTCGTGCCAATTGTTGGCACAAAAAAATGATGGAATGATATTGGTAGGATTAGCGGGTCCTTCTGGAGCAGGGAATACTGTATTTACAGAAAAGATACTCAACTTCATGCCCAGCATTGCCACCATATCGATGGACAACTATAATGAAGCTAGTAGAATTGTTGATGGCAACTTTGATGGTAACTCATCTTTTCTCTCGTTTGTTGATAACTACAACGATTCTTTATCTTTGTGTCAATTTGAGTTGTTCTTGTCCTTTTCTTTTTTGCATCTAAAGGTGGTGCAATATCATGTATGTTGTTTAACGTGGCTTATCTGAAGTTTTATTTGATTATCTACATGTTTGATTTAGATGTTGAAGATTTTAACCGTGAGCAAGCCAAGCAGTAAACTGACATTATTCTGGTTCTTTTAATTAACAGATCCGCGCTTGACAGATTATGATACGTTACTCCAGAACCTTCGCGATTTGAAGGAAGGGAAAGCAGTTCAGGTTCCCATCTATGATTTCAAGGCTAGTTCCCGAGTAGGATACAGGTTGAAAACTCCTTCATTTAGTACATATTAGTACTATCATTTGCTTAAAAAGCTCTAAAGGGTAAAGTTTTGCAGGTATGCCAGAGAAAATAACATTTAATCGTAAAATGTAGAAGGCCCTTTCAATTTACTATAGAATGGGATTTACTGCCTTCTTAATCCATAGTATAAAATGGATACTTTATCAGATAGATTATAGTGCTTTCATATTTCGAACTAGATGTTATATTTAACCCTAGCTTGTTTTTATGACAGGACCCTTGAAGTTCCCTGCTCCCGCATTGTAATTATTGAGGGCATCTTTGCTTTGAGCGAAAAGTTGCGACCTATGCTGGATCTTCGAGTATCTGTCACAGGTGGAGTTCACTTTGACCTTGTTAAACGAGTCCTACGAGACATACAGCGTGCTTGCCAAGAACCTGAAGAAATAATCCATCAAATATCTGAAACTGTATGTTTTAGTCTTTTTCTCTTTTTTGGGCTAAATTTATTACGTAAGATAGAGAGAAGGCGATTTAATTGTTTTGTAAAATTTGTCTATTCTACTTCAATTATCTAATTTTTCTTTCTAGAGTAGAATTCAGCTTTTTCTCTGGTATACAGGTATATCCAATGTACAAGGCGTTCATCGAGCCAGATCTCCATACAGCACAAATAAAAATCATTAACAAGTTCAACCCATTTACTGGATTTCAAAGTCCTACTTATATTTTAAAGGTTACTGTTTGCACTTACCTCTTCTGCTGTTTCTTTGATACTAATTATATGATACCAGTGACTGTACTATTGGTACACCCTGATATCCATGTCCTTATATATTCTTGCATCTCTTTTTAATCGTAGTCAGCAAGAAAGTTCACTGTCGATCAAATTAAGAGTGTCTTATCTGAAGATCATACAGAGACAGAGGAGCAGACTTATGATATATACCTTCTACCTCCTGGCGAAGATCCTGAATCTTGCCAATCATATCTGCGAATGCGGAATAAAGATGGAAAATACAGTCTCATGTTTGAGGTTTGTCCTTCTGATTTCTGCCTCTTATTATCACGAGTCCAGTCCCTTTAGGATGTGACCTCATAATCTCATTAGTGATCAACACTCAACAGTTTCACTGATCCTATAAATCTTGCAATTACAGTATTTAAGCCTAAGATTTGCATAGGACACTGGAGGTGTAATTGTAGATATGTTGAGAAAGTATGTGCGTGCTGTAAACTAATATTAATTATGAAAAATAAAATGTTGGGAACCACATATGTTCAACATCTGCATGCAAGTCAAGATAGCTTACTGGCGGATAGATCTTGATGAAGTTATCCGACAAAGAAAATAATGATACTTTCCTGTATTATTAATTTTGAGTTTATATGTTAGATTTAAGTTATTTGTTTTTTCCCAACATGTTTGTTAAGACACTATCAACACAAGAAAGTCTGATTTGATAGTTTGTGATACTCTCTTTCAGGAATGGGTAATAGACATTCCATTTGTCATATCTCCAAGAATTACATTTGAAGTTAGTGTGCGCCTTCTTGGTGGGTTGATGGCCTTGGGTTATACGATTGCAACCATCCTTAAAAGAAACAGCCATGTATTCTCTGATGATAGAGTTTGTGTGAAAATTGATTGGCTAGAACAACTAAATCGTCAATATTTTCAGGTATTTGTGGGAATCTGGAATCTTCTTCTTGGTACTAAAATTTGGTATTTTAATGTACTTTCCGAACCTTTTTCTTTTCAGTTGAGAACTCATTCTTGATTGTTGCTCATTGTTTAGGAAGTGATTCTTTTTTCTTTATATTTCGAACATGAACTTTATATATCTAGTTTTTGTCTAATTTTCAGATATATTTTGAACAATGTGTGCTTTTTGATGCTTTATTTCATTTAAAACATTGGACATGTTTGTTCTTCAAAATAAAATGGTAATCTGTTATCTTTATGTAATGCTAAACCATCTATTTCTAGATTTTTTGTAGGCCAAGATACTTATCACTGCACTTTGACATTCTTAGGTGCAAGGAAGAGACCATTCAGTTGTAAAATGTGTTGCTGAGCAGCTTGGTTTAGAAGGTTCATATATTCCACGTACCTATATCGAACAAATCCAATTGGAAAAGCTTGTAAATGAGGTTATGGTATGAAGACCCTCAAAATGTGGTACCATCCTATTCAATATATGTTCGTCCTTACCTAATTATTGGACAGGCCCTACCTGAGGATTTGAAGACAAAGCTCAGGCTAGATGAGGATCTGGTGTCAAGCCCTAAAGAAGCACTCTTGGGAGCCTCTGCAAAAAGGGTTTTCTTGAGAAATAGGCATCTCAAAAGGTACAGATGTATGATACATCTCTTTCTGCAGCATAAGATTGTTAAATGGCCTATATGAGTTATGAATTAGAGTTAATGTTTGCTAAACAATGGTATGTCACATTCATATTCAACTCAAAGGGAGAAGAATATGTCGAACTTTGCTGGATATAATGTGAACAACCGGATTTTTGGTGAGCGAAATTCAGGGTCAGCTCTAGCAAATGAGGTTTTTAGCTAGCTCTTGTAGCTTTGTGCATGATCTTAGTCTGATTTTCCAGTGAAATGGTTTTGCAACTTACCTGTATCACTCTTATGCGCTATGTAGGGAGTCATCACTCAGCTTTCGGAACATATATCCTCTTTGAATGATAGAATGGATGAATTTACGATGCGTATTGAAGAGTTGAATTCCAAGCTAGCCATCAAGAATTCTACTTCCAGCCAGCAAAACTTGGCTTTTCAAGCCGAAACATGCAATGGCTCTGCGCCAACTTCTCACTTCATCAACGGTTTAGGAAGCGGTTCCATTATGCCCAATTCCTTATCATCCTCCCAGCTGGCTAAGGATTCACCTATAATGGAAGAGGTACTACAACTGGTCTCTTTATACCCTTTTATTCTAGAGGTCCTCGTTATGAGGTACCGTCCCGTATGAGAGTTCAGGAGCTGTATTCAAGATTTTATCTTGTGAGTAAAGTCATCTCGATAGGGGTAGAACTCTTGTTTATAAAGTCATAAGACTTATTTACCAAAAGATGTGAGATCGGTTTTTTTCGTACCAGTCATCAACTGGCTATAGAAGTTCATAGTTCTAATGCAAGTAGTATTATACCTGCTGTGAAGTATATGTATTGATCTGAAACTGTCTAAATATCGCTGTGCTGTTTGCAAAGCAGATATCCAGTGTTGCGCGGGGACAACGACAAATCATGCATCAGTTAGACAACCTTAGTAATCTCCTTCATGAGAGAATTGGAGAGAGGTCACAGCAAGCTAATGCAAGAAAGAAGAACGCGACGGCTGTAGATTGAGATCCTATTAAAATTCCTCTAATTTTAACGACATTGGCAATTGGCGGTCTGGGAATCATCTTATATAGGGGCATTTTAACCCGAGGCTGATTCAATCGTATTTTTGCACACATTTAATACCTTTTTTAAAAAAAAATCTTCTTTTGCCCCACCAAATGCTTCTTGTTTTTGCAGCATTACTCTTTTCTTGGGGCATTTTTTGCCTTCATTTGGTGGGATCTTCTTGCTTTGCCATTTTGGGGCTGTTGGCAAAGTCTCATTTATTCCATTGCGACATTTATTCTATAGTTAAATTTAATAGTAGCAGCTTATAGTTCCACACTAATTATGTAATCTTAGCCAAGGATTTTGCAAATTCAGGTTTACCTTACTGCCTTGAATTAATATATATATATATAAGCTTTTGTTAATAAATGAATATAGAATGCATGATAGTAGTATAAAAAACACCGTGATTATGGGCATGAATTCTACCAAAAACAGAAATTTAATCATTCAAGATTACTAAGTTAGTGAGCAAATTGCTGTAATTTATGAAGTTCATCGTAATGAAATCATGACCATGCATGCATGCATGTATAGATACATGCACATGCATAAACCATTTCATGTGCAGATGAAATCAGTTGACTTCTGTAGTAATAAATCTTGGGGAGCAAACCAGAATTCATTTGAATCACAGTTTTATTACAAGCAACACACTGTAAAATCATATCCAGGAAAATTCTTCACTCAACCAGCAGCAGAAAATGTAAAACTCAGCCTAAATTTGTCATTTTTTAATCCAAATTTGTACAATCGGTATTATAACACTATACAACACGCTACATTTAGACACATTTATGTCATGTCTCATTAGATTTGTTTAAGTGTCTTCTTAACAATTTATGATTCTTGCTTCCCATTTGTCATCTTGGTCCAGAGAGCTCCATTGCTTGAACCAGCAAGGAAGAGTCATCGGTAAGATCGGAGTATCTCTCCGAAGAGGAGAATTCATTGGCTCTTGACCTGGTTGCTTCTGCTTTTTGGGAAGCTTCCCACTTCTCAGCAAGTCCATCGCCTTCAAGCATCCGAACCACTTCCGACATCTTCGGTCTTTGACTCGGAAGGTATTGAGTGCATAAAAGAGCCACTTGAACCATTTCTTCAAGCTCAATCCTATCATAGTTGTTCCTCAGGTCCTTGTCAACTAGTATCTCAAGTTTCTTCTCTAGGTGAACTTTTCTTACCTGCATAATAAATTAATAATAACAATCACTTGGTGAATCAGATTTCTGTAATTTGATTCATAGTTGGAACAATCTGAGAAGTGGAATTTCTTTGATTAGCTTACCCAATCAAGTATGGCTCCTTTCTGGTTTGCGGACTTTCCAAATTCGAGCGCCCTCAATCCAGATATCAGCTCAAGTAAAAGGATACCAAACCCAAAAACATCTGTTTTCTCGGAGGACTGGCCGGTCGATAGATATTCCGGGGCTATATGCCCCACTGTGCCCCTCACAGCCGTCGTCACATGTGAATCCCGGTGATCCAACAACTTTGCCAATCCGAAATCTCCAACTATAGCCTCACAGTAGTCATCAAGAAGTATATTTGCAGCCTTAACATCCCTATGAATTATCTTCGGGTCACACTGCTCGTGCAAGTACAATAAGCCCCTAGCTGTTCCTAAAGCTATTCTTTTCCTCGTCCCCCAATCCAAGGCTGGTTTGGCTGCAAAAACAGAACTCACCACCATTATTCTCAGGAAAAATTAAAACATTTAAGATTAGTGTTGGTCTTTCACAAATATTAGCGGCGATGATCGTTGTTGCATTACCTTTGAGTCGACTAGCAACACTACCATTGGACATGTAGGGGTAAACCAAAAGCCTTTCTGTAGCGGTCATGCAAAATCCATAGAGCCGAAGGAGGTTGCAGTGAACTGCTAAGCTTATCATCTCAACTTCAGTCTGAAATTGGATTTCACCTCCAATGGCATTTCCATCTTTAAGCCTTTTCACAGCTACTACCGTCCCGTCTGGGAGATACCCTTTATATACATTCCCGAATCCTCCTTTTCCGACTACGTTCTTGCTGCTGAAGTTGTTAGTAGCTACCTGAAGTTCCTTGAAATGGAACCTCTTCAAGTTTCCGAAGCAAATATCCTCTCTATGTTGTTCTGAAATGTACAAAATAATGTTTTATGGAAACAAATTAACACTTCTTTTAGAAACTAAATGATTCTCATGCGTACATATATATATATACTGGTTTTCACTAACCGCTAACATCGAAGAATATCTGCTTATTGTTTCTTTGCCTCCACCAGAGAACTAAACCAAAACCAAGAACAAGTAGGCAGATGCAGCCTATACTGGAACCAAAGGCTAAAGCAATTTTATGTCCCTTGACTCTACCCGAGGGCTGCGAGTCTAACAAGCACGGAAAAATGGTATCAGTATATATGTTAAACATGAGTACCGGACATGGATAGTTCAGGAAAAATGAATAAATCATTCAAGATGGAAGAACTGTTCTTACTTTGTGAATTATTTAAGGAAAAAGGCATTGGCATTGGCCTTGTTCTTGAGCAGTCTTGCTCAGCCCCAGCAGCACAGATCAATGGGTTCCCAACAATGCTGTGTCAAATAAAAACTATAGTAAGCAAGTAATATATAGAATATATATATGTTATAGATTCTGAAACTTACTTGAATGTTTTTGCAAGAAGTCCTGGGAGTGGACCACTCAGGTTATTGAAAGACAAGTCGCTGCAACAAAAAAAAATGTTAACGCTTAATCTGATATGCATCAGTTTGTAAAAGGAATAAAAAACTAAATGGAATTTTATAGGATTTAAGAGAATTACAGGAAACTGAGCTGGGTCATGTTAGCCAAAGAGGAAGGTATAGTTCCTGAGATACTGTTATTATTTAGCCTCCTGATCCAATTCAAAGGAAACCTCGTTATCATCATATTATTTCGGTATATACACACACATATGGATGTATGCATGCTTACAGGTATTGGAGTGTTTCTAAATGGGACAGAGTGCTAGGAATTTGACCAGAGAAGTTGTTGTTAGAAAGATCAAGTGTATGAAGCTTGGGAAGCTTTCCTATTTCTGAGGGTATATGACCTGAAATATTGTTGTTCTGTAGGAGCCTGCAAAAAAATCCATTTATTAAGGCATTGAAACTATATAAAACCAGAAATTGAGTGATGAACAGTTTTGGACACCTACACTAGCTGCAGATTTGTCAAGTTTCCAATGGATGGTGCAAGAGTACCAGACAAATTCTGGCTCGGAGCTCCTCTGAAACATAATCATAATATCTCTTTAGCTGTCTTCTGTTCGTGATTTTTATGTTTGAAATCGAGTGTTTTTTTTACTTACAGGCCAATGACTAGACCATCAAGAGAGCATGTGACCATGTTCCAGCTACATGGATCAACAGCAGCTTCATCCCAATTGTCAAGAACACCATGAGGATCAACTAGAAGCTCTTTAATTCCCATCAAAGCTTGCACTGTAAAAACAAAAACAAACGAAGGATTCAAACAAAACATCCACTTTGTCCTAAGATGTTGTAAGAAAAGAGAGACACGGTTGAGTTTACCTTCATAGTTAACACCTTTTGGTGAAAGCAAAGCAGTTGCAGAAACCCAGAAGAAGAACAAAGCAACCCAAGTTAAGAAAAACTTGTCTTTGTTGAATCTCATTGTTTTTTTTCCCAGTAGTTTGAAGCTTCAAGAAAGCTTCTTTCTTTGTAATGAAAGCAGGTGAGGAACTGGTGGAAGTTTTGTTTTGTAAGCAAAAGATTCAACTGAAAGTGAATGGTTAAGTGGGATTCTGTTGTTTTTATTATGCACTTGTTTACATCAGTAGCTGAGCTCTGAAAGTCCCACACTCCATATGCCTGAGAATTGGAAGTTGCAGACTTATTCTCTCAATTTTTTTTCTGTCAGAAACTCAGAACCAAGAGCCAAGAAAAGCAGAGACTCTGATCATTTAAAAAGAAACACTAGGAGTAGTAGTATCTAACATGCCTGAGACACGGATACTATTCAATGTTTTAAGGGTAATTTACAAATTCATCACTCAACTTTCTTCTCACTTTTATTTTGATCACTAAAATTTAAAACTTTCATATTTACTAGGAGATAATGAGACGAATTCGTCGATATCTTCGATGATCATAGAAGATGTCAAAAAACGGTAATTACAGTGTCGGTGTGACACATGAATGAAACTATACAATTTTCATATTTGGAGGAATAAGATAAAAAAAATGACATGGATGACACATGTATTCATGTAAATGAAAAGTAGACCACACCAACACAAGTGGCTTTTATTCTATTTATGATTTAATATTCGAGTGATCAAAATAAAAATAAATAAAAAAATTTAATAAGTAAATTACAAAATTTTAAACTTTAGAAATCAAAATAATATTAAAAATTAAGTGACATAACTTATAAATTCGAATCAAATTTTCTATTATTAATTCAATCTTTACAACCATCCGGTGGTACTAAAAAGAAATTTTAAATGATTGAAATTTTACAAACAAATTAAATCGATGATTTTATATTCAATCCATTGTTCTAATCTACTATATAGTTCAATAAAATATAAAAGGGAAATGTTTTTTTTAAAAAAAATCCCTTCAATCATGCATTATTTAGGCAGTAGGATATTAAAAAATGTAGAAAAAATTACTGTGACATTAACTGTTAAGCACCCTATGATTTTATCATTTTATTATAAGTAAGGCTAATCAGAATTTAGGTTTTCTCAACAAATGGGGTTAGGTAAAATCATATGATTTTTTCAACACAATAATGATTATGAAACTAACATGACACTATAAAATTAACCAAAATACGATATAAAAAATAATATAAAAAATTTAATAATTAAAAGTAACATATTTGATATTCATCGTAAAATTATATATTTAACTTGTAAATATTTATCTATTTTAACTCGAAAATTTTATCTCATCCGAAAACAATGTCTCAAAGCTAAGCTAAGCTACAACAATGACCCGTGTAGAATCCAACATTCCCTGACGAGGGTCATTTTCTATATGAAAAATTTAAGGATAAGTTAAAATTCATCATCTAACTTTTTTTCTCACTCCTATTTTAATTATTAAAAGTTTAAATTTATCATCAAACTTTTGATATGCTTATATTTTGATCACTCTATTGATAAATACTTAAAGATACTATGACTGGACCCTAAAATTTTCTTATTTTTTGTGAAGAAAACACTACTTTTCGAATTTTCTTTGATTTCTCGATGATGAAGTATCTTATTCTAAATTCGAATGGGGGAGAGGTATAGAAGGAGGAAGCGAGCTATATATCATGATTCCACACTGATCGGATAGTAGATGTTATAGGTTATAGACATGATTTGGGGTTTCACAAGTTTTTGGTTTAAAGTTGATTTAGGCAAAATTCAAATTTATAGAGATGTATAAGACAATGAGGTGTGTTTATTGATATTAAGTGGTTGAAGAAAATATTGAAGAAGAATAATTGTAGCACCGACGTGATACGGAGATGAAATTATAAAATTTTCATCTTTGGAGAAAAAATATAAATTAAAAAAGAAGAAAAAATGACGTTGATAACACATAGAATCCATGTCAATAAAAAGCAATTTACATCAATATATGTGATTGTCATATCACCCCTTTTAATGATTTAACATCTTTATGACTAAAATATAAATAAATCAAAGGTTTAATAAATAAATTAAAAGATTTTAAAATTAACAAAATAGGAGTGAAAGAAAGTTAAGTAATTAAATTTGTGATTTACCCAAATTATAATAATATAAATTAGAAAAAGAGTTTAGAGTCATAGAAGATACCATCACTTCTTTAAAATTAATGGAATAAAAAAGGTGAGGATCTCGAGGGTATGATCCTCGAGATGGTTGAGGTAATAGCTCCTCGTGAGATCTTTGCTATGTTGTATCAATTATTTCTCTTTTTCTTTAAAATTATTATACTTGTCTCCATAGTCAAACTCACTGTCCCATCTCCAATCTTATATAACCAAAAGAATCCTACTTTAAAGGGTACTTTTGAATACTATAATTTAAGATTAATTTAATTTAAAATATTATTATGTTTAATTTAAAAATTATATAAATGTGTAATATTTCAGTTATAATCTAAAAGTTATATTACAAATATCTTATGATTTACGATCGAAAATATTATGAAAAATATAACATTTTTAGTTACAATTTGTCCAGCTTAAAAAATTATTTTATCTAACCTAAAATGGTATACTCTTTATAAGATTTTCAATTGTAAATAATTTATATCGTTTTTTTAATTTTCTTACTTTATAAAATAATACTATTTTCTTTTATGTTTGGAGTTATTTAGATTATCCTATGATATTTCAACATCGAAAGATAAATCACAATAAATATTTTATATTTTATATGATCTTCAAATTATATAATAAATTATTAATCAGTAATGGTTCAAGTAGTAAACAATTTGATATCGCTTAAGTATATCTCGAGTTTGAAGCATTGTATATGTAGAAAATCTCTGTTGGGTGATTCACCCATCAAAATCAAATGTGACACAGGTCTATCTAAATTAATTAAAGTGAAACCCTAGAACCAGAAGAAGAAGAAGAACAACAACAAAACTATATAATAAATTAATGCTTCAGTATTTTTTCTTAAAATAAGTCACAAGAATATCTTATGTCTTACATTATCTTTAAATCGTGTCGTATTTATAATTCTGTAATGTTTTTGCATTTTTTGTGAATTGAAAAGAAAAACTATACATTAAATTTAAAGTTAAAACAAAATTGAAATCATGTATTGGAAGCAAAGGTGATGATGGGTTTATTTTCGATACACGTGCAATGGAGACCCATCAAGTACAGTTGACTTCATTTTGACCCCTTTGAATGTTCAAAAGAAAATATCTAGCTCGGTGCAAATTCATCATGATTTTAGGAAATGTAAAGTTGATCGGACATGAAAAGTTTACTACAAAGGATTAGCACTTGATAGGAACATCTTACTTCAAGACCTATCCAAACCGGTGTTCTTGTATAAAAATAGACATTTCAAGCATATAGATTCACCATGGTTAGTATTTGGAGAAATGACATTGTGGTCATTTTTTTTTATGGTTTATCTTTTAATATAGAGAGTCACGAACAATTATTTAGTAGAAGAAAAAAAATGAATAGAAGAATTGAACTGTCGAGAGAGATACATGGAGAGAGAGTTTTCCCATTCCTACCTATTTAATATTGGTATCAAGTCTAAAAATATATTTGACTGTCATTTAATATATTTAGTTGGTAAATCACGTGAACATTCTAACGATTATATAAAAGGTTGTAATTACTATGATGATATAAAATTCTGAAAATTTCAAAAAATTCTTAAGGAATGACAATTGAGATATTATTTGCGGAAGAGAATCCAAAGAAATACAACAATTAAATAACTGAGTTGATAGAAACATAATCTTAAATGGTCAATAAGCACCCAAAGAAAACAATACTAACACAACGTAACATAGAAAAGAGTCTTGGGGTTTCCCCAATTTCCCCCCACCTCCAATTGATATAATGGCATTGAGTTGGCAAATGAAGAAGTGGCAGGCAAGGTCTTGGAGCCAAAAAGGAGTCGAGCAAAGTGGGGGCTAGAAGAAAAAGGAAGTTTGACCATATGATCCAACTGGAATATGATACCACAAATGAGTAGGGAATTATTGTTCTTTTTTATACCACTTGGGTGTGCTTGAATAGAAGAGCTACAACCCTACAACTCTTCTTTTGAATGTTTTGTACACTAAATGATCAAAGTCACATGAATTTAGCTTTGGGTTTGTCCCTTGAACGCATAAAGAAGACATTATCGAGCCTCCAAAGTAGATGACACCCAAAGACCCCGCCTCGTATTTTCTTGCTTTATTGATCTATTGAATATATTGTGATACATAATTCATAATTATTTTCTTTAAATATCTACATATATTTTAAGACTACAAATCGAGTCGTGTAAACATCCATGCCATATGTTATGCATATTTCAACGGTGCTCTCTTTTCATTGACAACAGGTAGTTGAAGAGTCAGCTAGGCAAACAGAAATTCAGAGTTTACTTCAACATCTCTAAAACACGAACATGGTAGAATGTATTCATTCTACATCAACCAAAATACCCAAATCCAAAAAAAAAAAACTACAAATCTTAGGTTAAAGATTTGGGTTAATTACACTAGATGTCCCTAACCCAGGATTTAAATTCTAAACCAGTCTTTAAATTTCAAAACATTCTAATCAAGTCCTCAAAAATCCGTTCCATATTACTAATCAGGTCCTTCCATCAAACTAGTCATTAATTTGAACGTTAAATGTAAACTCGAATCTCAACTAAAGCCTATTTAAAGAATATAGACAAGCTTACCCCTTTTAAAACATGATAGATTCAAATTGTATATACGATTTAATACACAAACAGCTCCTAATTGAATTAATCCTAAAATTTTACTAGTCTTTCTCCATTGAAAAAGTTGGGGGGACAATATAACAAATTCCCTTAACAAAAGTGCCCTTCAAAAGCTTTGGATACCTCGCACGCAACCCATGCTTTTTCTCTTTACGTAGTACAGATATGACCCCTTTTTTATATATATCAATACCACCTAATATAAAGAAATGTGAATGAAAGCAACGGCCATCTGCTACGCCCACACCCCTTAAAAAGAAAAGAAAAAGGACTTGTTAGATCCCACCTCTTGTTTGGTTGCTAGGAAAGTTGTTAAGAAAATGGGAAAGAAAATTTCACAGCCATTGCAGGGTGTAACATTAGAAGAGTTGTAAGAAAGTATAAATATATAAATCTTGAGTATGTAAATTTTACAAGGACTTAAAGAAATATTTAAACCAAATATTAAAGGGTATAACATCTTAATATATGTTCAAAATTTTTCTTATCAGTTGAGAACGCATAATTTATATTCCTACAACATTTGATGCTCACATTTGACGTGGAGTATTGTTAAAATATGCCAGTCATGTATACTTATTGCATGTCACCTTGGATTTGACGTGTAAAAAAAAACCCCTAAAATACTGGACGAGATTAACCCAAACATTTTTTTTTGGTTGAATTTCTTTACAGGGAGGATGTTCTGTTGAAAGAAGCACTGTTTGCAATGATTTGATTCAACCTGTTTTACATGCATCAGGAAAAGAATCAGATGGCAGCATCAAAAGCAGACAAAAATAATTCACTCATAAAGCAATTATATGAAAAAGTTAATGCAAACAAATTGATAGAAAACAAAGATGTCCACTCTCAAATCTCACACCCTGGAATCCATATGTCATCTTCCAATTGTAAACAGGATCCCATAAGTGGTGCACCTGTTCCTGCTGGGAATTTACCTCAATGTGTTTTGGTATTAGATTTTGATAAATTCTGATTATATTTAGACTTGAGTCGTTATCGAACTTCTTATCCTACTTTGATTTCGCTTACAAATACAGTGAAAGTGGAACTGTCACCACTTGCGCCTAGAACTCTGCTGCATAATCGCTGATGACATTATCTTATGGTGACATGTCAGTATCACCGTCAATTTTTTAACGATGGGTGATAAAAATAAAACTAAAACGTAGCATTAGGTATTGTTTTAAAACAAAAAAGAATTGGATGACTAAAATGGAACAAAAATGATATTTGGATTACTAAATGTGTAGTTTACACTAAAACAGTTTGCTTAGGGGGGAATTGAATTGTGAATCAACTTTGTTAAAATCTCTTTTTCTTTTTAAATTTGATGCGATTTAGGTTTCTGTCTTTAAAAAAGGAAAGAGGTTGCTTCAAACTAAAAAAGAAAAGGTTCGGAGGTGTTACAAATTTCGTGCCTGAAAGGATCCGTGTTAGGATAATGAATGGGTCCAAAATTCCTTTAGCTTTGTATTTGAAGTGATTTAACTTACTCCCATATGAATGCAAATATCAAATTTTTATCGTTAGATGTGAGAATTTTGCTTCGAATTTTTGTTGAAGTAAATGTGTGAGTAGAGAAGAGTATGGGTTGGGTTGAGTTAGATTTTTAACTTACTCGAATTCGATTTAAGTATTATACTCTCTATCTGTTATCTAATTCAATTTGGACTAAGGAGATTCTATTTGACTCAAGTATTATACTCTCCATCCGTTATTTAATTCATTTTGATAAATTTAATGATAATTTGTAACTTTGAAAACTACAGTGACCAAAACAATTATTTAAACATAGTTCAATCTCCTGTAATGCCACATAATTCTAGATCATGACACGTTGGGGGTGGTGACAATATGGTCCAAACTTAAAGGCTAGTTTGAACATTCAAAACCAAAGGGGTCAAAAAAGCCATTGCATGGTTTTTCAAGGAGTTACCTTTATGCTTAAAAGCCTGTTGATCAAAGCATGTCGATTAACACCACCATGTCAGCCGGCATAGACAAAACAGTAATGTCTTTGATTCCTCCACCACTACCAAACATCCAGTGCTCAGACACTAATGGTCGGCAAATGAAAAAACACGGGTGCAGTGGTTGATTCAAAAGAACACTGAAAAGGAGGGAACCTAATGCTCCATGGAATTCAAAAAGTGGCTGAAATGAGGTGGATTCTCAGAATTACTGAAACTAAACTTTGAATCTATTCCCTCACCTGATTATACCCGTATTCGACACTTATCTTCAAATGTGTGGTAAGGAGAACAAAATGCGATTAGATGACAATGGACATCTTGTTTACAAAACCGCAACCACATCCGCGATAGACGTTGCAACCGTAATTTAATACTGTGATGAGATGTGCCAAAACTTAGATTTTTAGCCGTATGGAGAATTACCCTGGAGCTCAATCGATGAAAACTCGTCTATTGCAAAAGATAACGCCTGCCTTGCTGCTAGAGCTTCAGCAGGAAAATGGTCCAATTTATCTTTGTTCAGACAGATACAAGATCCTAGTACCAAGCCTTCACTGTTTCCAATCACGATTCCAAGTAAGAATTTAATCATTATTTTTAAAATTGTGAAAAAAATAAGAGGCCAAATTGAAAATAAAAGCCAAAGTTAATGGGTCAAATTGTATCCACAAAAGTTAGGGGACAAATTGTAGTTCAAAATCAAGGGGAAATTACAAAAAAAAAAATGGGGTTAAATTGCATATAAAAATCAAAGTTGGGGGCTAAAAGATGCATTTACCCGTTTTCTATGCTAACGACGAAAAAAATTACTCTACAAACGAAACTATACTATTTCCATGCTTCTTTTAATTATATTTTCAAACATTACCTAACTTATTAAGATACTCAGGATCTCTAAATTCCAATATCAAGATTCAATTAACATTATCGTTTGCTTACTGGTCACACGAATCCCATCCTTTTCATTGGAGTTGTTGCTCAATAACAAAGCTTCTTTTTCATGTGGCCGACATATCAGATCATAAGATATGTATGGATATCAATTAGAAAGCTTCATTTTCATAACCTCTTTTAAATTCTCCTTTCTGACCACTCGTCAAACTTAGCCAACTTGTCCCTTTCGATAACTCGAATCTCCCCCAACACGCAAATAACCTATCCACTCTTGAATCAGTATCATTTCCCAGTCAACACCCAAAAATTGGCCAAACCGTACAAATTTGATAATAAATTAGATGAGTTCTAGTTATCGATTGAATAATTCGAGTACTAATACACATTGTAAACATAAGAACATTATATTATAATACCATATTATATAAAAGTAAACGGAGAATCTCCATAGTCTGCCTACAGATGGCAGTAACAAGTTTCAGGTTGCCACAGCATTGGCAAAATACTCGGCAAAACACGATAACATCGTGCTATCTCACCAGGCAGTACTTTGAGAAGCAATTTATTTAGTTATTATAAGCAAGAGTAATACTATATTATAGGAATTAAGCCGTTATTGATAATTCTTCCTCCTCTTCCCAGCAGCATCTGAGAGTTGATCTTGGTGATCCACAAATACCAATGGCGTTGAACTTCTGGTAAATGATGGAACCTCCAGTACCGAGCTCTTCAATGCTCCTCTCCCCGCAACGGTATCCTTTGACATTCAGCGAACAGATTTTCTCTAGAGAGGGACCGGCGTCGCCATCGACGTGAACAGCAACAGAGAATTCACTTGGTTCAAAGCAGACCAGAACCCTATCCACCAACTGGTTCAGGTTCAACTTATTCAGATCATAGCCGATGGATTCAAAGCTTGCGTAGCTAAACCCGTCTTCAGGTGTAACATGAATGGTCGAAATGGCATCAGCTTCGATTGAATTCATTGAATAACCGCAGGGTTCAAACTCAAAATCGCATATATCAGAGTCTGGAAGGATGTTCCTTATGCCAGAAGTAATTGTCATCGAAGCAGCCGAGCTAGATTGGTCTTTGTAGAAAACTGAAGCCATTTCACTGTCCAAGCCAGTCATGCACATCTCTAGAGTGTAAGTTGGGGCATTGGTGTTAACAGATTCAGCAGAGGCAGAGTAAACATGCCATTTCTGTTTTTTATCACTCCCACCCATCACACAAGCTCTGCTACCAGAGCCAAGCTTCCCAAAATAGTTATCGAGAATCGCTACTTCTTCAGTGAAGTACCGGTGAGGATATGGCTGAGCAGCAGGTAATATGAAGCTTCCACGAGTGTACCGAACATATTTCACGGTAAGAGATAGGTTACCAGACAACTTCAAGATAGGTGGGATTGCTAGAAGTAACTTAGTTGTCCCACAGGTTTTGATGATGATTTTGAAAGGATAGACAAAGAGGCTTGACTCAGAAAGGACATAGGAGTCCACAAGTTCATTCGATAGCGAAGAAACAATGGTGCACTCAGCTGGGGTTAGAATCTCATCCAGCTGAGCTCTCGACAATGATCGAAGACCCTTTTGTTCAACATCGATAACAGAATCAGGCTCAACAAAAGAAATCTCAAGCCTCTTTTCATAACCTTCGAATCCAATCGCAGATACCGCCATTGTGATGTCAATGGAGGACAATAACAGCAGCAGAGTTTCTCAGAACCACGTTTGCAAAGGAAACAGTCACAAGGAGAGTGGATGAGGAAGACGGCCAAAGAAATAAATCTATAACTATCTAATAAAGCAAATAGACCACTAACAGTGGTCAGTAAGGGCAAACTTCAGTAAGGAATATCAGGATGGCTTGCGAGCGCACTGCAAAACAAGAAAAAGAAAAAGATGTATCAGCAGAAAAAGATTCAAGCCATTGAAATATAATAGCTTTCTTCATGATCAGCAAAATTCAAAGATATGCCGGTACTTACGTTGGAGTAAGCAGCAGATCTGAACTTCTTGATACCACCGTTTGGTCGGACGTCTTCAATGATGTAACCGAGAGGAGCTTCGTAGACTAAGGCCGTACTACTACTAGACTTCTTTTTCCCGCCTTTAGACTCCATGGATCATTCAGTCACACCTAAATTACCATGAAAAAACAGAACATAGATTAGATTCAACATGTAAATAATAAAAGCGAAATAATGAAATCAATTCTTTAACAGAAACAATAAAACTACAAAATAATGATAATAATAAATTATATGCATTCAAGCATTGAAAAAGTCATGAAGCAATACATAATTTCGAGATAGAGAAAATCATGAAACAATATATATAATCTATTCAGGTATCTAGAAAATCAAAACATTTACAAGCTCAGACATCATATATAAAATTAACCAAGAAAATGAAACGATTACCTTTTTTTCAAAAAAGAAAATCTTCTAGCAAGAACAGCAATAGAGGCTACCGTCCAAAAATCTTTTAAAAAATAATAATATAAAAAATAGAGAGTACAAGACGCATAAGAAAAAAATATAACAAACTTATTCATCCAGATAAATAAATAAATAAATAAATAGAATATCGCTATTTTAAATTTAACCTACACTAATTTTTTATTTGATAAAATCAAAATTACATATCCATGAATATTATTATCATTTGCGAAGGTAATTTATCTCCTACACAGTAACAATAGCAACAATAAACGAATCATAAATCGCATGATAAAAAGATCGGAACAACCGATACTCACGATTCAAAACTAGGAATGCCAGGTTCAACAAAAGATAAAAACCTCGATAATCAACCTCTGTGCTCAGATCCTAAAAACAAATGCAAAAATAGAACCAATAAAAATCATGTGAAAATCAAGAAAAAGAATCGATGATTCTCTTGTATTCAAAGAACATTATCATCTAATCATCAAAAACAATAGAGGAAAAAAGAAATACTTACACGGTGAGAAAGCAAAGAAATGAAAAGGCTTCGGAATATTATGAAAGGTTTTCAGAAAACTTCTCACGTCTTGCGCTTCAGGCAAATTATGAAGATATGATTTTGTTATTGGGAGGGCTCCAATTTATATAGGGTAGATGTGCAAGGGTTTTTCTTAACCCTTCCGTTTTCTAGGGATATTCCAGTAATTTTATTATTTATTAAGTATTTTGTTTCTTTTTTCCTTTTATAACGGAGTCGATTTTTTAGAACCTTTTATTTTTTGAAGAGTTTTGAGTGGATTTCGCAACTGTTTTTTTACTAAGGAATTGTTGAATTTATTAGATAAATTTAAATGAAATAATTAGATTAAAAAAATTAATTATATTATGACAAAAAAATCTAAAATTTCTAAAAAAATATAATTAAAATTGTAAACTAAACACATAATTAATATATTTTCCTATAATCATTAACACAAGAAATTAACTACTTAAATCATATAAAGATAATACAAAGAAATGTACAAAAACCATTTAAAAAAATTCGAACAAAATATAGATACGGACAAATCTGACTTTTATAACAAACAGATCATAACAGGGGCTTAATCTATCAAGAGACGTTGACAAATGCAAATCAAAACCAAACATAGTGATAAAACCGTATAGGAACGTAAGTTATGTATCTAAATCAAATTCGAGGGTTAAAAACAGAGATAATAACGATAAATTAATTAGTTATGATATTTATTTTAGGTCCAGTTCTATCATCAGTCAGATACTATGCATAAATTACATTTAAAAAAAATAATTTTAATTTAATTTCCATCAGTCTTGGATTTTAAATTTTACAATATAAGAACCCATAAAATGATTTTAGTTTGGGTTCAAACAACTACGTCACGATGATGTATATGCATTGTCAATAATTAAAAAAATATTCTTAATAAATTTTAACTTGTAATCACCTCAAGTTATTAAAAAGATTAATAGCATAAGGTGTATGTTTATTCTTGATTTCGTTATTAGTTCTTAAAACATTTCCCTAGTGACCAATCGTTGTTCTCAAATACATCATTTGTTTGAAGCACACAAATAATGGTATGTGTCAGTCAATTTAATGATTAATTGATTTAGACACGGAGAAAAAGTATGGGTTTCAAAAGAAAATGCATCATTAATATTATTTTAAACTAAGCAAAGTAGGGAAAAGCATATGACTAAGGGAACTATTACAAGCACTGATTTAGTTTCAACAAAGCTTAATGCAATCGCAGGTACGTCGCATATTTGGCAAAGTGGTACAAGAACATGTATTGGGGTTTGATGCAGCTCCAAACCTCTGAATCATCAGTTGAAGACAATCCCACTTGCCATTCTCGCCGCATGGAGGACCATCCATTGTTACTTCAATCGGGCAATATTGGGTACCTGCAAACATTACCAAATTTCCATAATCACAGTGACATGGATCGATTGAATTAATATAAGTAAAAAGAAAATACCTTGGGAAAGAGAAGGAGAGAACAAAGCTAGCAAAAGAACAAGGCAGAGCATGCAGGGAGCAATTGTCTTCTTCATGATTTATTCTTCTATCTTTTGCACTGCACTTGGTGTATGTGTTATGTTCTAAAACATGTTGGATAAAGGATTGATTTATAGGTGCTTGAATGAACGAGTTTTGGTAAGAAAAATCCCCATTTATTTATGGGAATATATCAGTAGATGATTTCATTTTAAATATGTGATCTTAATTGATTTTTTGTTCTAGATCACTTATTTTTGTCCATGATTTTATCCTTTGATTAGAAGTAACCATAATATGAGAAGGTTGATTCCCTACGAACAATCACATCGACATTTAACAAATGATAACGATATTTATTATTTGACTTGATTATTGGAATATAATTTTTAAGGTTATCTTTTAAAGTAATTAATAAGATACTGTTGAAATTATTTAGAATGTCAACTAAAAAAGTTTCTCTTATATAGTAGAAGTGGAGAGGTAGTCATTCGAAAGGTAGTTAACATTTTCTTCAAATCTCTCGATAAATAGGAATCGTTTTTCTCAAATCCGCATTGCTAGGCAAATATGACAACAATATGTTTACTCATAATTACACGAATAATGCCCTAAAAATACACATACATGTTAACATGAATCAAGTAAATAATAAAAATCTGAAATATTAAATTTATATACTTTAAAAGATCAATATCTAACTAATATAATACTTTTTTTCATATGTGAAAACATATCCACCTAAGTAATCATTTACTGTACTTGAGAAATTACATTAAAATTCCTCTAACGATGATGTTTTCTCATCTCGAACGAAGAAACTTGTAACCTGACCACGAAAACAATTCGAACGCTATGATTACAAAACTTCCTTAATTGATTATCAACGTTCAACAAAATATAAGTGCATTACCTTTCAAAGAAAAATATAAGTGCATTGACTGTAAACGAAGATCTTCCTTAACTTTTTTTTTCTCGGTAATAATTAATTTATTTATACGAATCGAAGTCTAAATTGCAGGCGAACATCGACACGTTCATCGGAACAAAGTGATTCATTCCGGTTCTCGGTCAGCCGCATAGTACTAAATTGCGGCCGCAACACAGCGTAACACCCGTATCGTAACGTTTTTTAAGGTTACCGCGACGCAATATCATCGCAACGCGATAAGGGAACCGCATCACGATTGTTGCGGTCAAAAACCGTTACGAAAAACCGCAACACGCTATAAATTGCGCTGCAACGCAACAACAAACTTTAAATTATCTGAAATATAAAATTACATAGATGAATTGTTCTAATTTAATTATTAAAACTAGATTATAAATATATATCATTAATAATATCGTAATAGTTATGTTTAAAATTAGTTAGTTAAATTTGAATTAATTAAATTATTTATTTTGGTGGTGAACTGTAAGATATATAATTTTTATATTTGTAGTTATGTATTTTTTTTTCTTTTTAAGTTATGTAAAATGAACATTTTTATGTTAGAATATAAAAAATTTGATATGATTTTAGTGATACTGTTTATTTGTTATTCATTAACATTATTCAATATGATAACACTTCTATAATTTATATTTGTTTTAATAAATTTTTATCTATGAAATTAAATTTTTATTTTCAAAATAAAATATTAAAAAAATATATTAATATTAGTATATTAAAAGATAACTATAAAATGTATAAATATAATATTTTAGACGTATTGTGATTTTTGAGGAAGAGATAATGCTCGCGATAGCCGCAACACGTTACGTAACGCCCACAACATCCGTAACTGCGACACCGCAACCACAATTTAATACTATAGTCAGCCGTTGTCTTCCAATCGGTACTACGCGTTACAGCCTCGAGGAAGACATAAAGGGTACGCTCTATTATCGTGAATTTAAACTCAGTTTTCGTTCATAGATTGGTCATCAATCCAATGCTTATTCTTTTCTTTTTGGTTTTTGATTTGGTTGTGCAATGAAGCATTCTAAAATTCGACAAAGGAAGACGCTGTCACTTGCTGTTTCTGCCTGTGTTTTCCCGACATCGACCCACAGTCGGCAGACCACCATAACATATACCAACAATTCGAGATCTTCTGGAGGAGTCGGGGTAACTTTGTCGCCAAATCAGTTGCCCGGATGATGTCCCTCCAGGATTCTTAAAAAGATAAAAGGCTGGCAAGCGTGCACCTCCACTCTTCTTAATTTCACCATAGGCGAAGCACCGGGGCTTGACGGCACCCTCCGAGCCCGGCTACCGTAGTTCGATTTCCCGTTGTCGTGCAAGAAGTCGCAACCCGTTATTGTCGGAAAATGGTATTGTCCTTTCATTTTCATCAAAGATGGAACACCAAAAGACCAGATGACTAAATCCATGTATTACATAATGACACTTGAGCAACAATGGGAACAAGTCTTTGCATGCAACAATGACTACAACAAAGACAATGCTGTTGAAGTCGACGTGAGAGTCGAAAGGGAAGTGGTTAGGGTTAATGGGATACCAAGGGAGAATTATATAAACGATAGAGAAATAGTCGACGGAGTGATGCGGTTCGGGGGTTCAACGGCCGGTGTTGGATTAAGTTTGGCCATTGTTGAGAGAATGAAGTGGGAAGAAGAAAGGTTCGGGTGGAGTGGTGGGAATGAAAAGGTTAAAAGGGTGGAGAAAATGGAGACGAATGGTGTGTGGAATCAATTTGGGTGTTACATGAGTTGCGATTTTACTCTATCCGTTAGCCGTCTTCTGCAACAACTGGTATCCGAGCCAGATTTGAGTGTGTAATATCTGCTTATTGTCTTTGTGGTTGTCACCAAAAGGTGGATCCTCCAACATAAGAAAGTAAGAAGATATTACCCATTCTTTAAAGGTTCCAAAGAACTATTCACGATAGTGAAATAGTGTGAGCTATCTGTAATAGAAGTTATGGCAACAAAATTTGATATTGAAAAGTTCAATGGGAGAAATTTCTCATTGTGGAAATTGAAGATGAAGGCCATCCTGAGGAAAGACAGTTGTCTAGCAGCTATCAGTGAAAGGCCAGTAGATTTCACAGATGACAACAAATGGATCGAGATGGACGAGAATGCTATGACAAACTTTCATCTAGCATTAGCAGATGAAGTATTATCAAGCATCAAGGAGAAGAAGACAACTAAGGAGATATGGGATCATCTCACCAAACTGTACGAGGCCACATCGTTGCACAATAAAATTTTCCTTAAGAGAAAATTGTACACTCTCCGTATGCCAGAATCTACTTCAGTGACGGAACACTTAAATACACTGAACACTTTATTTTCTTAGCTTACATCCTAAAGCTGTAAAATAAGAGAACAAGAACGTGCTGAACTTCTACTTCAAAGTTTACCGGATTCGTATGATCAACTCATCATCAACTTGAAAAACAGTAATGTCACCAGTCTAGTCTTCGATGACGTTACAACTGTTGTTCTACAAGAAGAAAGTCGGCACAAGAACAAGGAAGACATACAAGTAAATCTGCAACAAGCAGAAGCGTTGACAATGATGAGAGGGAGATCAACAAAACGTGGCCAAAGCAGCAGTCACAAACATGGTAGATCAAAGTCGATGAGCAAGAAGAATTTAAAGTGTTACAACTGTGGAAAGAATGGTCACTTGAAGAAGGATTGTTGGAGTATAAATAAAAACTACAATCTACAAGGCAATACCGCAAACACTTCAGATGATGGAGATACTCTATGTTGTGAAGCGTCAACCACCGTGGAAGGTAGAAAATGATTTGCAGATATATGGCTCATTAATTCGGGAGCAACATATCACATGACCTCAAGAAGAGAATGGTTCCATCATTATGAACCTGTCTCAGGAGGATCTGTGTATAGTTGTAATGATCATGCCTTAGAGATAGTTGGCGTTGGAACAATCAAGTTGAAAATGTATGATGGAACAATTAAAGTTGTTCGAGATATGCAGCACGTGAGAGGCCTGAAGAAAAATTTATTATCCTACGGATTGTTGGATAATAATGCAAGCAAGATTAAAACACAGAGAGGAATCATGAAAGTGTTCCGTGGAGCGCTTGTGGTGATGAAAGGCGAAAAGATAGCAACAAACTTGTACATACTGAAGGGAGAGACTTTGCTAGAAGTAGTAGCATATGTTGCCTTATGTAGCTCAGATTCTGCAATGCTATGGCATCAGAAACTTGGAAACATGTCAGAACAAGGAATGAAAGTCTTTGTAGAGCAAAAGCTACTTCCAGGCTTAACAAATGTATCACTTACTTTTTGTGAGCATTGCATAATAAGTAAGCAGCACCGGTTGAAATTCAACACATCAAATTCTAGAGGCAAAAGTGTTTTAGAATTGGTTCACTCTAACGTATGGCAAGCACCAGTTACATCCCTAGGCGGAGCAAAATATTTTGTCTCATTTATTGATGACTGCTCCAGGAGATGTTGGGTATACCTTATTAAAAAGAAGTCAGATGTCTTTTCAACTATCAAAAACTTCAAAGCGTGGGTGGAACTTGATTATGAAAATAAGATCAAGTGTTTTAGAACAGATAATAGAGGAGAATACACAAGCGAAGAATTTGATGACTTTTGCAGAAAAGAAGGCATCAAAAGACAGTTCACAGTGGCGAACACTCCTCAACAAAATGGAATGGCAGAGCGGATGAACATAACCTTGTTAGAAAGAACAAGAGCAATGTTGAGGGATGCAGGGCTAGAAAAATCATTCTGGGCAGAAGCAGTCAATACCGCTTGTTATTTGGTGATCGAGCTCCATCAACTGCAATAGAGCTGAAGACACCAATGGAGATATGGACTGGTAAACCAGCTGATTATTCAAACCTCTATGTATTTGGAAGTATAATGTTCGTGATGTACAACTCCCAAGAAATTTCAAAGCTGGATCCAAAATCCAAAAAATACAAATTCTTGGGGTATGATGATGGTGTAAAGGGGTATCGCTTGTGGGATCCCACTGCCCGTAAAGTGATCATCAGCAGAGATGTTATCTTTGTAGAAGATAAGCTACAAAGAAAAGAATATGATGATATCGTTAAAAAGTCAGATACTGCACAGATACATGTGGAAAAGGAGGTTGGACAAGGAAATTCTTCTGAAGCAGAACCAACACATGATGAACAAGAACCAGAGAGTTCTGAAGCTCCAACAACTCGTCAATCAGATCGTGTGAGAAGACGTCCTAATTGGCACTCAAATTATGTTATAGAAGGTAATATTGCATACTGAATTTTAATAGAGGATGGTGAGCTATCAACATACCAGGAGACAATAAACAGCTCAGGTGCTTCACCGTAGATGATGACGATGCAAGAAAAAATAGAATCCCTTCATAAAAATAATACATGGGACCTTGTGCCACTACCACAAGGAATGAAGCCAATTGGTAACAAATGAGTCTTCAAAATCAAGCGAAATGGTGACGATGGAAAGGTATCGTGCAAGACTGATGGTAAAAGGATATGGTCAAAAAGAAGGTATTGATTTCAATGAAATCTTTTCTCCTGTGGTTCGACTAACAACAGTTCGAGTAGTATTGACAATGTTTGCTACATTGAACTTACATCTAGAGCAGCTAGATGTTAAAACATTTTTTCTTCATGGAAATCTTGAAGAAGATATTTACATGTTCTAGCCTGAAGGTTTTGAAGAAGACAAAAAGAAGAACTTGGTTTGCAGGTTGAACAAATCTCTATACGGTCTAAAGCAGGCGCCGAGGTGTTGGTATAAGAGATTTGATTTCTTCATTATGTGCCTTGGATACGACAGACTTATTTCAAGAGGTTTGGTGATAACGATTTTGTTATATTACTGTTGTATGTGGATGACATGTTGGTTGCATGACCCAACAAAGATCATATTGAAAAATTGAAGGCACAACTGGCTAGGGAATTTGAAATGAAGGACTTGGGATCAGCAAACAAGATTATAGGGATGCAAATTCACCGAGACAGAAGTAATAGGAAGATTTGGCTTTCACAAAAGAATTACTTGAAGAAGATATTGTCATGGTTCAACATGCAAGATTGTAAGCCAATTTCTACCCCTCTTCTTATTAACTTCAAATTATCCTCCAGTATGAGTCCTAGCAGTGAAGAAGAGAGGATGAAGATGTTTCAAGTGTCGTATGCACCGTCAGTGAGAAGTTTAATGTTCGCTATGATATGCACAAGACCAGACATTGCACAAGCAGTGGGAGTGGTTAGTCGGTACATGGCGAATCCAGGCAAAGAGCATTGGAATACAGTAAAGAGGATCCTGAGATACATAAATGGACCTCAAATGTTGCATTATGTTACGGAGGATTGAACTTACTAATCAATGGGTATGTAGATTCTGACTATGCAGGGGATTTGGATAAAAGCAAATCTACTACATGATATGTGTTCAAAATTGCTAATGGAGTTGTAAGCTGGGTTTCAAAATTGCAGTCAGTTGTGGCTACATCCACAACAGAAGCATAATATGTAGTAGCTACACAAGCCAGTAAAGAAGCAATTTGGTTGAAGATGCTATTGGAGGAGCTTGGGCACAATCAAAAGTATGTCTCTCTGTTTTGTGACAGTCAAAGCGTCTTGCATCTAGCAAGGAATCAAACATTTCATTAAAGGACAAAGCACATACGAGTTCAATACCATTTCATTCGTGAAATGGTGGAAGAAGTGACAGTAGATATGCAGAAAAATTCATACCAAAAACAACATAACAGATTTCATGACGAAGACAATCAATACTGATAAATTTACCTGGTGTCGATCCTCTTGTGGCCTGTCAGAAACGTAAGCAACATGAAGGTATAAGGTAGAAAGAATGGTGTGAAGATATGATTGTTCCAATCAAATCTTTAAGTGGGAGATTGTTAAAAGTCAAGCCTACAATTGTTGAAAGTTAAAGAAACTTTCGGTGGCAGCAGCAACAATTGCTGCTGCCACCGAAAGTTTCTTTAACTTTCAACAATTGTAGGCTTGACTTTTAACAATATGTTGGTGGAGAGGTTTGTGTTGAGAAGAATGGATGAGAGTTTGGTATTGACATATGATTTCAAGCATACTCACGTTGTTAGAAGCAAACGGGAATGATTATTTGTGCAATTTTAGCGGAGAAATTACGATTGTTCAATAAATATTTATGGACCGACGACTAAAAAAATAACATTAGTAATATTTAAAAAAATATTGACATAAAATATATGATCAGAATAATAACATGGATTAATATTAAGGGTTATCTTTTTATGCACCGATAATTAGAAAAATACTTTACAAGACATGTATATATCGATAATATCTTAATATATTTGTATAATGTTAAACCTTAATTCATAATCTTTAAGCCCTAAAGCACGGATCCCTAAATCATTCACCTCCATGACATATTAACATACTTATAAGAAAGTAAGATAAAAATCCTAACTTGAATGTTAAGAACCCATGACATGGAAATCACATTATTCGAAAGAAAATAAGATAAAAATCCTAACATGAATATTAAGAACCCATGACATCGAAACCACATTATTCGTGCACACAACAATATTTTTCTTTTTTCAATCTTGACAAAAATATTCTTTAAATTTACTTATTGTAAAATATGAAACGTACCTTTGTTATGTATCCATCAAAACCTCTTTGCCAATCGAATTTTGAGCCCGAAATGCCGAATACAACACCATATAAGGTCGTTGCATGCTTACGTGTTGATGAAACAAACGATTCTGCATTAACCTCTTCAACGCTGTATTCGACATTCCGGGCGCAAAAGGCGATGGCAATCTTGACGAGATCGGCACAGCCGGCATTCTATCCTGATTCGGAAGTGGCTAGGGTTGGTAACCTTGGAGCTTATCTATTTCTTGATGGAGAAAGGTTTTTAAGTTGATCTTTATGCCTGTAAACAACTATTTTATAGACCCTTTCAATCAACTCATAGCTTACGATTACATTAGTTTGGGCCGGGCGTATCTACATCTATGGATGCGATACGTATTTATCTAAATTTTACTTCTAATGTTGAAATTTACTTTTATCTCATTTTTACGTTTTCTTTTTATAAAATAAATATGTTTATTAATAAAGATGATAATTTCATTCGGATTCAACGATTTTCAATCTAATTCGACTCTATTGGATTAGTTTTTTATTTTGAGAATTTGGGTTAAAATTGGATCAAATCAAGGTTTTTTAAGGATCAGATCAAATTCAAGTTAAGGGTGAAAAACCAACTTGATTCAATATGATATAATATTATAATTATCTCTTATATATTTAAGGATAATATAATAATATCTCTTTAACCCAAAACAGACATTCTAACCCGACCTAATCTAATAGGATCGATTTTTTTTTTAAAAAAATTGAGTTCAAGTCGAACTTTGTAAAGGAGTGAGGTCAGGTCAGATTCGGGTGGAGGGTAAAAAAACTATGACTCGACCCAAGAATAATAGTGTAATTTCTTCAAATAAATTTATGGATAATTGCTATAATACTCGCTTTCTCTATTGTTTCTTTAATTAAGTCTTTATTTTATATCGGGTCGGGACGGAGTCGGATGGAGGATATATGGTTTTCGGGTTGAATCGGATGGATGGTATATATTTCTTAGGTCGGATAGAATATATATTTTTCAGGTCGGGTCAAGTTGACTAAAAACCCAACCTAACCCGATCCATTGACATCCCTAAGATTGAAGCTACATAGATATTCTATAATGGTTCAAGAGTGTGTACTTTTAATTTGGTTAAAATAGATTTTAAAAGAGAGATGATGAATTGAATAAATAAAGAAATCAATAAAACAATCGAATTTAATTTTCGATTTTTATATGAAAATTCTAAACTCGATTTAGAACTCAAAAATTAAAACTGAAATTTGAGTTAATTTGAATTAAAAAACATTTTTTTTTGAATTGAATCAAATTTTGCTTATCCTTAAAGCCAATTAGATTAAACATCAATTTAATTAGTAGTATTATTATAACATATCTCAATCATTTAACAGTGAAAGTTTAATTATCCTTACTGTTGCTTGTGCTCGAACTCATAACTTCTAGGAACAATAATTATACTTTTAACCACTGAAGTAAGTTGTTTCGTGCTTAAATGTATAATTATTTTTAATTTAAGGATTAGAGAATTATGAATATAGTAAAGATTGTATATATAAAAATTAAATTAATATTAAAAACACCTTTAAATCTGATAAATTTGATTTAAATTTAATTTTTTTCTAGATACATCTAGCTTGGCCACATTTATTGAGGTGTAATAGTAATAATAAAGCTCCTCCGATTAAAAGCTAATGGAGGGACTTTGAAGTGGAAGTTTCAGCTAAGCTTAGCGGAGCCACCAGTTATACCGCGGAGGTCGGAGTCAAAACCGAAACAGTTAAACACCAGCACTTCAACACCGGCAACTAGTTTACTTGGGGGTTAACAACGTACGACAAACGAGACAAGTCGACGAATAGCTATAATCAAGCCATCTATACAAGCAATCCTTGTGAAAAAGATGGTCACATCTCTTCATCTTCTTCAATTTCGCTAAGGCACACGGCACAAGTAACTTCCTCGTCTTCGTTGGTGCCGCCATTATATCAAATGACATTGAGCTGATCGACATTAATGGAAGGAACTGGTAGAAATGGCTGCATGGTGTAAGTGTTGGAGAACAAGAGATGGCTAAACAACAAGTCCCAGGCCAATTTCAAATGGTTTATGATCGAAATAATGTAATAGTACAACATGGTGTGGGACTGTGGGGGTGATTGAACAGAGGAAACTAACGGCTGCAAATTGTGGATATTATGATAATAATTTGAGAGAAAGAGAGGGATACATACTTGGGTATTTATAGACTTAAATTGGACCAGTCTCCCAACCCTTCCCATTCCAAAATTAATTATAGTAATGAAAAATAATTAATTAGGCTAATTAAACATTAGCCTAAATCATTAATGTTTTTAGGTCGAGTCATGTTCTTTTTGAATTTACGCATGGAGTAAGGGATGGACCAATGAGGATGTTGCAGGTGCGGCCACATCTTTGAAAGTTTCAAAATTCAATATAATTTAGGTATTTTCTATTGATTATCTAATTTCGTAATGTTTAAGATTTTGTATTTTCTTACCCTTAAATTTCTAATATAACTTATTAAGTTCGCACTCCCTTACATAAAATCATAAGTTTCTCCTTACATGAATTAGCATAATTTATTGAAGATGTTATATTCGTTTTATAATTTATATTTAAAATTTATAATTATGAATTCATTGAGCGGTCTTTATGAATTATACGAGAAGCTTAAACTAATGGATTCACACCTTAAAATCTAATTTCTTATTTGCTCCAACTTCTGTCATCTTCAACCAAGATGACAAAGAAGATCGTCACTAATCTGTGAGGGAAACATTGAATCCTCCCTTTGAAATCACGACTACTTGTGGTTGCATAGATGACGGCGGGGTACATGTTAATGTGAGCTGCTTATGGACCCCTTTGACTCAGAAGGTGTAGCAAAGAACTCACCAAATGGAACAATGACTCCAAGTTGTAGTTACATAAATCATGAGATCGGGTTGGATTTAATATGATGATGGTAAGAACACGATGGAGGTGGCCGCATGACGGTCAACGGTTGAGGGCTTGGGATGGATGAGCAGGTAAGGGTGATAAAATGGATGATGTTTTTGGACTAGAGAGGGAGGCCACAGTTTCTGTTATGTATATGTATCAAAGTAAATGGTGATCAGAGGAGCATGGTGATATAAGACAATGATGATATCAATGTTAGATTCATTAAGCTTGAGATATTTTTTGGTTAAATAGATATCAAATCCACATTTATAATTGTGAGACGAGTTTTGTGAGATATTTTGGTCAGAACAACTGATGTGATGAACTAAATCTAGTTCATTGAGATTGAGGAGGGAAATGAAGAAAAAAAGGAGAGGAAAAAAACTTTTTATTTAAACAAAATCGACGTCGTTTTAGTTTAAATTTAAATTTTATAAAGATCAAAACCATATTATTTTGAAGTTAGTTACCATGTCATAACATCTTTAATTATTTAATAACGAACGTTCAAAACAAAAACAATTCAAAAGTTGAATGATAATTAATTTTTTAATGACCAGAACCGATATGAGAAGATACTTGAATAGTTTTCTTTTTGCTCGGCAAAATAATTTTATTACTCGAGACTTAGATTAAGAATCTCATTAAAAACCTCCCTAAACCTAAATGGATGAAAAGAGTACTGTTAATTAGGGATAGATACAAAACAACAGCACTTGGAAGAGATTCGGAAACAACACTACACGCGTTCGAAACACACCAGACCCATAAACAGATTCATACAAAATATGTCACATTTCAGCACCTTCAAGCCAAGATTAGACCACTAACAATGAACTAAAGGAGAGTGAAGGACCACAACAACGCCTGAGAAACCATTCCAATCAGCAACAACATAGAAATCACATGTTATCTTAATCTCCAATAACACTGCACTTTCTACACTCACGACTGCAACAGGCCTTGAGAAAACGCTTTAATTTCCCCCGAATGCGACCAAACAAACCACACCAGAAAATCAAATACAGGACTATGGAACTTTAATGACCAACGGATCCAAGTGGCAGAAACGAAACCAAAAGATTCAACCTTGGATCTTCCCACCAGCTATTCTCAATAGGAAAATCTAAACTTCATCACCTTAATCCAATCCAACGCCCTTAAATTAGAACAACAACAAAGTCTATAAAAACAAACTTCTTACCCCTAAAACCCAATTCATTTTGATTCAGCCAAAACTCCAAAAGCAGCAACTACAGACACCAAGCCCAACATTTCAACAATCTGAGACTGACAGAAAACCAAAACAAAAGCAACTCTATCACAATATTGCGGTTATGCCAATTCTCCTTCCCCCTAGCAGCAAAATTATCCAAAAAAATTCACCATAATAGGACAGCTCACAAATAGGTGATCTACACTAACAACATATTCGATTAAACCCTTCGAAATGTATACCCCGAGAAGATCGTCAGCTATAAACCAAGGATTAGAGTTCCCCAATCTAAGCCCCAATAAATCATTCCATAGATCAATCTAACCCGACAATGAACATGGTGCAAAAACATAAATCAACGTAATCTTCCTACCTGATCGAGGCCAAAACCCTTTCAAACTAATAAAGCTTGAATCAAAAATAAAGCTTACCACTTCAAGGCGAGCTTTATCCCAAAGAACTGCACTACCCCAGATCTTCCAACTGCTGGAGACTTTGAGATCAAACTCGTCACCTTCCAAAATCTTCGAATGTCCCTTCACTTAGAGCCTCTTTCTTTTATCTACTCCAGGACCTCTTAAGTTCCACGAAAGGATCCTCATTGTCCAATCGAAAAACCTACGCATCCCCTAACACCCACTCACCAACCTCAACACAGTTCTAACGACACTAACTCCTTGAGAACCTCTTAAGTTAGTTACCATGTCATAACATCGTTAATTTTTTAACAGAGAACGATCAAAACAAAAACAATTCAAAAGTTGAATGATAAAATTAATTTTTTTAATGACCAAAACCAAAATGAGAAAATAGTTAAATGATGTACGATATAATTTACTAAAAAAACTCGTTTGAATATTTACGAATAAGATTAAAAATCTCTATTTGTATAGGTGTCAATATATTATATAACAATAAATACGATCAAACACAGCACACAACCATATAAAAGAAATTTGAGTAATATAGGTAATGCATTAAAAGAAATGCATAAAAAGCTAAACACAGCACAACCATATAAAAGCAAAGTTTATATATGAAGGTTATCATCTTCAGAAGAAATGGTCAGAGGACATTTGCAAGAGAACGTCGAACTAATAGTAATATACATCCAACTACACAGGATTTAAGATTTACATCTTAAGTAATCTTTTTCTTCTTCTTTTGCAAGCCATACTCACACGTATATCCCTTGATCATATTCCTCGATGAACCCGAACGTGTTCTCGCCGCTGTAAGTCATGTAGAGGAAACCATCTTCATCCTTGTTTTCCTCGTATATGGCAGACAACATAGCAGCTGCACCGGTGTCGGCATTACACCGTTTAGCGAAATTGGTAATCGTAGAAATTAAACAAGAGTGGGGTTTGACTCACCGGTTGGGGGTAGGATGTTCTTCACAAAAATGAATATAGCCTTCTCAGGACTCAGCTTAATCCTCTTCCGAACAACATAGACAAATTGGCCAACAGTTAGATCAGCAGGAACCAGATATCTGCATTAATCCAGAGGGAAAACCTTTAGTTTCAAAGGAAGCAAAGGTGAAAAATACAGGTAGGGATTGGTGAATCGGTATTCGAAAATTGGAATCAGGTCCAACATGAAAACATCGAAGCAATGAACATACTAAAAATTGGCAGAACATAACAGGCACATCATATTGAATAAAAATATATCAACCAAGAGAGTAACAGAACATAGACTAGGCAACCTTTTCAAACTAGTATAAGAAAAGATTCAACAGATCACATCGAAAGCAAATGAATTCATGCCCGTAATAAGATTCTCTCCATGATATCTTCCCTTCCACGAAAACCAAATCTAGGAACAGGTTATCTACTCCTTCTGATAGGAAAACTCGATCCACATTAGTCGGTATCCACAGGAATTCACAACTCAAAAGTTAAGAGAGTTCAAGAAACAAAACCAAAACCTCAATACAAGAAAAAGAAAACAAATTCAGACAGTCAGCAATGAAACTATTAGAAGAGAATGCATTTCCAAGCATCAATTATCTAATATTCAGCAGCAACATTACACATTTCAGCAAACGTAAAACATATCAATAACACACGTCACATACTCGATCAGACTAAAATCTATAGTAACTAAAGCTCTTAAAGAAAACATGCAGAGATAGGTACTAACTTTTTCTTATCAATTTCAGGCACATCGCTCTTCTCCGCCCTTTCAACAATCACCTACATTGAGCAATCAAACACCAACGTAACATTCTAATCATGGCAAAGAAAAAAAAAACACAGGTTTCATAAAAAGATGCAGCAGCCGATCATTACATACCGGGATTCTGTCCGGATACTTTTCCCTAATGCGTGCAGCTTCAGCCTGCCTCCTCTCTGATACACAAAAGTAAGAGAAATAAAAGAAAATCAAAACCCTAATTAACTAATCGGTCTTTTCCCTAAATTGTGTGTTCAAAATTGTTTATTTTCATGGAAAAACAACAGCACTATAAAGTCTGAGAATTTCAACAAAATAAAAAAATACCCAGATAGAAAAACGAAAGTTTCAAGGGTTGGTGTTGATTAATTAGGAAAAACAACAAAATTAGAGTTTCACAACAAAATCAAAATCAATTGCGTATAAATTCATATAGGAAAACATTTAAATGAGACGAACGAACCAAGGGGGTGTTCCAACTTAAAGGAGCTCTTAGCCATAGCAACGAAAATCTGCAACAAAAAAATAAAAGAAAGAATTTAATCAATCAAACATGGTATAAATTACTTAATAAGGTTCATAGGAACAAAAAGAAAAGCACAGATCAAGAAAGATCAAGAGGGGGTACTGCTGCATACCGATCGAGAGAGAAAGGATGAGAGTGATGGAGTGAATCTGGGCTTCTAAATAAAGAAAAAGGTTGATAGTAATGGAATTTATAATACCATTTTTATTTATCAGAAATAAATAGTAGTTAGTTTCGACAACACGTTGTAGTGTCCGATACGCCTCTGGCAAAGGCCCTTAAACCAAATTTTCATTAAGGTATAATTGTAGTTTTAGTCCCTCTAGTATCGAAAGAAACGTTAAAATAGAGCACAGTCCCAACTGCAGAACTGAAAATGAACCACGAGTAACCAAGGGGTCCATTCACCGAGTACCACGACAGTGATGGACCGTCTGGTTAACGTGTAGGCAAGTCATGAAAATGGGCGCGCGCAGTCTCTAGAAACTACCATCGTCTCCAGTTGGTACTTTCGGCCATTGTTTAGTCAAGTATCTTTGGACCATGCTTGTTTTCACGTCTCCAGCTTGTTTGTTCTCTATAAAGGAGTAGATGTTTTGCCAAAGAGGGCAAAAGCATGGGTAGAAGAGGGAGGTTGAAGGAGCTTTCTGCCTGCAAAAGGAGGTGTATTTCCATGGTCAAGGAGCGAAAGTCCAGATTCTACATATTTTGGAGATGTGCCATTATGCTATTGTTCTGGCATGGGGATTCTTAGCTTCTATTTTTGTTTTTGGTTTTTTAAGTTTTTCACAAAAACAATGCTTAGATTGTTTCTTTTTTGTTGCTAAAAGTTACGTGGATGTTAATGGTTTTGTTAAAAAATAATAATTTTATTACATAATTTTGATATTGTTTTAGTTTCGGTTAGTAAATTATGTAATGATACAATAGATGATATGACGACATTCCATAACAATATCATTTAAATTCTTACAAAATTTATTACAATGATTTGTTTTGAATAATCATTTGTCGCTTCATTTAAAGGGCAGGATGAAACTTAAGGGAAGGTATCTAAATTTCACAATTACATTCGAAACAAATGATTTGTATACATGAATGAATTTTATATGCTTGTAATATTTTTCGTTTAAATAACTATTGGATTTATGTTTAGAAAGATAAAAAAATTAAGACAATAGTCGACAATGGTTTATCTAAATCTTAAGTTGTTTTGAACGTTGAGAGAAGAAAGAGAGGAGGAAGAAGAAACAAGAGACAAATGAAATGGTTTTTTTAAATTTTTTTATAGAAATTTAAAATGATATTATTTTGATGAATTCTTTAAAGATTCAAAATAACTTCATTTTGTTATATTAACAGATTTAAGAGTTGAGTGATCAAAATAAGAGTAATGTCAAATTTGAGTAAGTAAATTAAAAAAATTAAATTTAGCAACCAAAATAAGAGTGAGAAAAAAGTTAAATGATGAAATTTTAATTTATCCTAATAAAGCTCATATGCTTTATTTTCATTTTCCAACATTGCATACAGAATTTCATACCCTTTTTTCCCCTTGTCTTCAAAGACACATGCATGTTATTTCGATGATTCCACATTTGGAATATGATTATGAATGACGGAAGAGATCAAAAGGGAATGTTTCTCACTTTAGCAGAAAATGGACGATTGAGTACCAAAGAATTATTTTCTTCACAAGGCTCTCACGTCTGAAAAAAGAATGAGTGAGCGGTGACCATTGCCCTCCGCTTTCTTTCACGCCTGCAACGGCGACCGTTAACGATAACCTTCAACTAAAATCTTAAAGGCCCCACATTCACATATCTGTTCGCGAGTCAACTGCTGCGTATGCTCGTCGCTCTAGCATATCGTTCCCCTGAGATCGGAAGCACAGGGAATTCGGCATGTTACTAGAAAGAAGCACTCCACAAAGCATTCTCACCTTCCCCACACCGTCGATGAACCTCTTTAATCCTATCGGCAGACCGGCAAATTACACTGCAGGTCCAGTCGAAGGAAGCGACACTGATGTTGCCAACTTGGGCTTTCCACTCACAATCTGCATTCACAACCATTTAGACACTTCAGCTTGTCCATGACATGTGAACCAGTACGAACAATGACTTGCCACAAGCACTCTATTCCAATAAAACATGAGCATTCGAGACATTACCGGGTGGTGTGCCACAACATAATCTCCGATCATCGATATGCTCCACATCGAGTCCGATAAACCAGGATCCCAAGGAAACATCCTCATTAGCATACTTATGTAGAACGTGTCTGATATAATCATGCGTGTATATGATCATCAATCATCATTAATATGAAAACAAATGACAACATTGAGGAGCATGCCCTCAGATTCATGCACGGTCAAATCTTACTGGTTTATTGATATATACGAGGCCAAATCTTTCGAAATGGCATATAACTGCCCGGTAGCATGCCGGAAATATTTGTTTCCGTTCTCGCCGAATTTCCAGTGCTCGGGTTCTTGGTATCTAACTCCTCTGTTCAATAATATAACAATTAAGAAAACAGGCACGTACTTTGACGAAAATCATTTGCAGAAGAAAAAACGTCTTTATGTGGCTCACTTTTGAGAGAGGATGGGACCGGATTTCATGCACCCGATACACACACGAGGTTTCTTCCGGTGTCTAACTAGGGTTGTTCCGAGTGTTGCTGCAGTATTTTTTCTGCAGATTAAGACTTAGCATGAAAACTTTAATCTGCAATGAGATATCATAATTCTCACCAAAAACATATGAAATAAACGAAACTTACCTATATTTACATGGACATCATCATCAACTTTGACATAAAAATCTGCATTCAGCAGTAGCAAAATATATCTTAGCCTTTGCAGACAATTCAAGGTACCCTTCAACGTGGTCCTGCTTGCAATCGAAACAACGTATTATTCGGAGTAAATACGAATGGAATGTTCTTAAACAAGAAAGATTAACAGTTGCAAGAACAGCCTACCAGCCTCAAGAAGTCTCCATGCTTCTTATCCTCCGCTTCAATTGCTCGGTCCAATATACCGCCGGACGTAGCACTGCATAATGAAAACATGAAAACATCACTACCATCTTTCGACCGGGCATCGATACATTATTTCTCAAGTAGCTACAAACTTTGAAAGGCATACACTGCAAGGAAACACATGCTAGAGAATAGAATCGTCACCTATGACCGATGACAAAGCGGACGATAACGCCTTTCTCGTCCTCCAATCTCTTCATCTTTTCACCTATTTTCGAAAACCGAATCAATTAAGCAATTGCATTCACATTAGAACGTAGGGGAAGGAAGGGAAGAGTAAAAAAGGAATCAATGCGACAACCTTGCAACATCCAAGTAGCACGAACCGAGTCTCTTCTTTTCCTGCTGCTAAAAGCGGTATTAATTCCTATAACCATCAGGTACTTTCTCTTCTTTTCTTCTTTCTGATGCAAAGAAAAGAACCCCAATCAGCTTAAGGACAGCAAAAATTAACCAGAAAAACAAGGTTTATACGATACTCACAGCTTTAAGATTACAACCCTCTGAACTTAGATTCATTCTTTCGGCTTCTACAGCGGTTCTCCGTATGATACCTTTAGATTCAGGAACAGCCACCATCCTGGTACCAATTTTACACATTAACAAAGCAAATTAACATAGTTTCACCATTGAAATAAAAAAGAAAATGAGATTACATTACCAATTGGTGAAGAGAATTCCAGCACAGAAGCAGCTCAAGCAAAGAAGAGAAGTCCATTTCTTTGAAACAAGACTCTTAGTACACTGCTCCCCTTTGGTTTTAAAAGACATTTCTTTCTCCAACACTAATTATCAAGAAGAGAGGAAATCCATGTGTAAAAAAAGGAAGCTTGAGCCAAATCAATGTGACCCAGTTGCAGAAAAGGACTCCCCCAAACAGCTCCAAATTTGACAAACAGAGAAAGAAACAGAAACAAAGTGCTGTGTTTTTATTCTTTTATTTTATAGGTTTTCCCCCTCTGATTTCTTTGTTGGTTTGTTTTAGCTCTATAGATTCTCTCTGTCTTCAAAGTCTGAAAACTCTCAACTTTGCTTCCAGGCGAGGGGCGTTGAATGCAAGTGAGAGACGATCCTCTCCTAACCGCTTTTCTTTTACTTTCTTCCTCGCACCAAATTTACAATTTATCCTTTCTTTTAGGATAAAACACAAAATGGTCATTAAACTATACTGAAATAATCTTTTTAATAATTAAAGTTTCTAAAGCATAAAACGGTCATCACTTAGCACAAACTTTAAACTTCAAGACTAGGTTGTGAAAAAATTAAAAGACTAATATGAACATAAAAAAATTAAAGTTGCGATAAAGTTTTGATAAGATAAAATTTTGATATATTTTATTATTTGGATTTTAATATTCATTAAATTGTGATAAAGTTTTATATTATTTGGATTTTATTATTTGGATAGATAGAGCGATATTGGAGTATAGTTATATCTTTTTTAAAAAATAATTTTTTTATATAATTAGTTTTTTATATGTTTTATTGATGATTTTATTTTGCATTTTTTGTAATTTTGTATCTTATAAAATTTTATATAATTTCTTAAATTCGTATTTTTTGACGTTAAATTTTGTGACTATCTCTATCACCATCTCTTATTATTGCAGATATATGTTGTATGCCATTTAATATTGAACTTATGTAGTATATATTTTACAGTGATTGAAAAACAAGTGATTCAAACTTTATAAAAGAAAAAATAGACGTAAAACGGATGATAAATTGAATAAAATAGAAAAATTAATGAAGTCGCAAGATAAGAAGTGGCACCGACACACCATTAAACGGTGCGTTCTGATCCCCATCCCTGCGGCTGGGAACGTGGCCCGACCAGTTAGTTATAAATTAACGGTTCTACAGGAAAGATTGAATCTAACTTCCACACACAAAAGAAGAGGGAAAAAAAAACAGAAGAATCTTTGTAGATCAATGCCTTCAAAACCATGGTTGCCATGGAAATGAATGCTTCAAAGAGAACCAAAGTATACCAAGTTTGGCCAGGGAAAAATGTATAACCTTTACTTAATCAAAAAATTCGAAGAAATAAACTCGAGATTAATATCAACAGAAGCCTCGGACTAATCACTTGTATATGCAGGTCTTCTTCTTCCACGGTCGACTTGTCTGCGGTCCGGATCCGAGAGGGTTGCTCCTCACA